TCTCTATGACAACTATGAAATATTGACATCATGTTTGACAAGTTAGCTGCAAAATGATTATTATTATTTCTCTTAAGTTCTTTATATGCCTTTAACATTTCATGAAAAGATCGTAGGGCTTGTGTACTGTATATGGTTGAGTACTCCACGACCACATTAGTGTTGGTCTTGTCCTAACGATAAGACACATAACACAACCGAATATGTTCTAAATGCTTACACTTAAACATGTCCAATTTGCATGATAACTACCAATAAGCGATCCGATTGATTACTTGCCCCTCAACTATAACTAATGGTGTCTTGACTATAGTGTGATTTAGCATAATATGATCAAATATTGACTCAGACAAGATAATTGGGCCACTAAACCTAAGCCTTGACCCATCTAGGTAAGAGTCCACAAACGTAAAAGATTATATTATAAATAACAAAAGCAGGAGATATTTTATTTACATTCTCATTAATTGCACACTTTGTGCTTTGTTAATATTTGAGTCTCATTTGAATGTGAGTGTATCTTCTATAAATACAATTATTCTATTTCTTGCTGAAAAGAGTATAGAGAAGGAGGAAGAAGAACACTTTTGAGTTCCAAGTTTGTAGAATTAAAATATTTGCATGATAAATCTTTAACTCTGTAAAAACATTTTAAAATCTTTCTTTCAAATTATATTTTATGTATTAAAAAAAATCGTTTCGAAAAGTTCGTTCTGGAATGTATTATTTATGTTGAGTTTGTTTTTAAAATTCTGTTCTATTATTTTTATTTCGGAAATCATTTTTCAAAAATTTCTCTTGTTTTGGCACATTGCGGGAGTGCTGTTCTAAACTATGGGGTGCAGAAAGATAGATCTGTTTCGGTTTGTTTCTTTTGAGCAGTGCTTGCCTGTATTGTAAGAGAAGACCTATATGGGAACAATATAAATATAAAAAACCCTATTTGAGGCCCAACGTTATTTTACAAAACAGGCTAACGTATGTTGTTTCTTGATTATACACATTTACAAAAATCTGAGACACATCTTAACTATTTTTTTCAAATATTATTCACATCGTTGTTGATGTGAACGGATGAAACGACATGAGAAAATTTGAGATTTTCTAAAATAATTACTTACGTAACATATTTTTCAAATGTTTTAAGAAAATGCATTCATATAGTCTGTGCATCTCAGATTATAAACATCATTAGTTTTTGTTCTTTATGTAGGGTCAAGCAATTTCCATCAATACACTTTCACAGTTTCCTCCTATGTGGTTTGAGTAAGCATATCTTTGTCATACGTCTTAATCCTTGTCCTAAATTGATTTAGAGTACCTGTCAAAAGTATTTCGATGTTTAAGTGAGTAAATAGTCCGTATGAAGTCAGAACAAAGTCTTAAATTCACAATAAATGCGATGACTTACCTCTTATCTTTGACCTTTATTTATAGTTTTTGAGATGAGTCAAATATTAGTAGAATGTTAATTGATACTTACTCTTAGTTGTGATTCTTGATGTTCCTTAAAAAGTGTTTTACGGCTAAGATTGGTTGTTCGGTTGTCACACATGCTAAACCGGATAACCTTTTTATTATCTTTGCTCGGGATTGGGTGACATAAAGGGTCGTCCACTATTGTTTTGGTCAAGACCGTTCGACCAGAGAGACATACGGTATAATTTTATAATTATTTTTGTGGTATTCTTATATGAATAATTTAATAATAATAATAATAATAAAAATAAAATAAACCGTATTCGAGCTCTTTAGTTGAAGCAAGTTGTTCAGGAAAAATAAATGTAACTTTCGGTGAAGAAAAGGCAGATTCGTAAAGGCTAGGCCCTTTCCTTTAATTTGTGAAATACGATTGAGACCACGAATGAGGATTCTGCTTGTCCCGAAATTGGATACACCATTTTGTCGTCCATCAATTGTCGCAAAAGAAATTCAATAAATAACCACACAAACTATTAATTGAAAACAATTTAAATTAATTTGTCTAATTCGACTAACAACATCAAAAAACAACTGAGATATTTTTATAATTTAATTCGCTTGATGGATTTAATTTTACTAGATAAATGAACTATGTCTCAAAAATAATATCTTTAGTCTAGTTGTTTGAATTAAAAGGGATTAAAATGTTTGCCTAAATGTACACAGGTAAATAAAGTATTTACAAATATTACTTGATTAATTATATGTATATAATGCGTTTAATTGGTAAGTTATAAATAACTGAGTTTAATGACAAATATGTGACCTGTTTTTAATAATATGTTGTGAATGAGAATGTGTAATATTAGTTTAATGTTCACGAATGTCAATAATTACTAAAAAGTTACAATTAAAATGTAGTAGATATCCAATACAAATATTCTAAAGTGTAGAATTGGCTAGTTGCACTATTCTATTTGATGTAATTGATAATCCTTTAATCATGTTGACAAAAGATCTATATAAATATAAATATATGTATCTAGACTTTTGTGTGTGTATATATATTTAACTAACTATTTGTCTCAATGTTGTCAGAACTTTACTTTTTTTTTTTTAATTATGAAACGATTTTATTTATACCCATATAGCAGTAATTAGGAAATATTGTATTAAAAGGACGAACTCATTTATCGTAAGTGGATGAAATATCTCAATTGATTTTTAACACGCGCATCACAAAACAGATTATTCTGTTTCATTAATCTTACGGTTTCTGAAAAATGCAGTAAATTAACGTTTGGATCTGTATCAGAAGAAGATTAAAAAAATTGTAATAAAAAAATAAAAAAATAGATTTTAAGTTTAATTTAATTTCACAAAATTAATTTATAAAATAAAATTTGTATCAATTTATATATTATAAATTAATCTTATTATGTTGAAAAGAAAATATAAATAAAAAATTTAAAGAATTGATAATGATTAAATATTAAAAGGCAGGAGAACCAGTGAAATATGATCTTAAAACTTGGCATCCACGTGAGAAAAATAATAGAGAATCTTGTAATCTTTTTGATTGTTAGGGGTTCCAAATTGATTCCACCGTTACTTTTGCATCTGCTACTCACTTTTCCACCCTTAACATATTCAAACATTTGCACTCAAATCTTGGAACCAAAGATCCTCTTTGTTTCCCAACCAAATAGAAATATTCTCTACTCACATTTTACACTGTCAAAGGTTTAAGTCTCCTCACCTTAAATAAAAAAATACATCATTAAACTTCTTTAACATCTTTTAATATTATATAAAGTATATTGACTTACACAACATCAATTTTATTTTATTCAATAAAAATATTTTACAGTGATTGTTTCTCTTATTTAATGAGTGCTTGTTGATATTTGAAATAGTGAAATATTCAGCCGAGACTCTATATTTTATTTTTCTTCTTTTCCCATATCTTTAGGAATGTCCATGAATAGTGATTCATTTTGTATTCAGAAACTCTTCATCCACCCAAACATCCCTTAACGGGTCCCACCCGAACAAAGCCCTCCACCGCTCATTAACTTCAAAAGCAAACACCATTGGTTTGGCTCGGTCGTTCAAGATGCCAAAGGTAATATTTTGTGTCCCCCCACGTCTCTTTATTTGGGTATAAACACTCATGCCACTTACAAAGAGTTTTGAAGCCAACGATTCAGCCAAACACAAGAACAATAATGATGAGACTCTCTATTTCACTTATGGTAGTTCTCACAGTGTTGGTCGTCACAATGCCAACCCTTGTAAATTGTAGAGTCCTTCCATCACAGCAAAACCTCACTCATCATCATAAACCTATCAAGGATCAACCACATTTTACGCTTTCACTCACCAAAGACAAACCCAACACTCACGAAAATATAAGAACCCGTTTTTTGATTGAGACTCAAGTCAACACCATGTCTTCAGGGCCAAGCACTAGAGGTTCGGGTCATTAATCATGATCGTCGGCGTCAATTAATTTCTCTACCCGGTTATGTAATAGATATCAGTTGTATATATTTGAAAATTTGTGTAAACTTTGTTAATATCATATTTAGATGTTCGTGTATATTTTCTCAACAAAAATACGAAATTTCATGTTAAGAAGTAGATTTTTAAAGTATAACTTAATTTCATAAAACTTGTTTGTAAAACGAGGATCTTCGCCAGACATCTTTCTGTTGCTTCTGAGCATCGCGTCCTTCTTCTTCTATCTCCAGCCAACCCTGCAGAAGACACTGACGCTCAAATCAGAAATTTTCTATTTATAATTTAATAGTGAGTAAAACGTGAGTTTATCTCGAATCATAAACCCTTATTTATAGAGTTTAAAGGAATCTGATTAATTAATTTACCTGTTGATGGTCATTAATGCAAACATTAACTGTTTAACAGTAATTGTTAGTTGTTATGACATTTATTTGTGCATTAACTCTGCTCAACGGTTGTACGACCAAGATTTGCACGTTGACCTTTTGGTTTTTTAGGATCGAATGTCATCTTAACTTATGAATAGTGTTTGAGTACAAAGTAATGTAGAGACTCTCTTACACCTTTACAGTTCGGTCGATAATGAGTCTATAATAACACATTTATTTATATATTAACGAGAAACTAAGATGTAAATTTATCAAGTGATTTGTACGTGCCTCGTACCAAAATGCATGTAAGTATGCAATTTATGTGAATGATAATTTTTAGTTTAATTAATCATTTTGAAATATTTTACATACACAACCAGTATACAAATTTTCAGTAAATACGAAAATATCGTACTAGTATTCCAGTGCATATATTTATGTTAATCTGATTAAGTATATATACTATACTTGACTAATTCAATAAAATTAGAGTTATCATTACTATTATAGTATAAATTAATAGGACAAGACTTAGGTGTCCTCCATTGGGAGTCGCTTTTGTGAAGCCCATTCAAAGCATGCCTACGAAAACGGTGGTTTGATGTTTGAAGGCCCATGGTTTCATCTTCGAGCTGTCGATATCATATAATATTGTTGTGTCACTATCTATCTACATTCACTATTTTCATTGTCCTTTCTACCCTTACACTCTCTGTTAACACGTATATAGCATTCACCACCCGATTCTGTGTTCGGTTTGGTAGAGAAAAATAGCGGAATGACGACGATGGCGGAATTGACGACGACGAAGCCCAGCCGGAGCGACGAGATTTTGGATACGGAAGAGCAATTGAGGATCGCTTACGAGATCAAAGCCCATTTCGATGCCTTGCAACCCGACCGACCCGTCAAACCCAACAGAAGCGAACCCGGATCGCCACGCGCCGTTAACCACTCCCTCTCTAAGAACGATATTCCGGAGCTTCATAAATTTCAATCTCTTCAATCTAGCTCTCATGTATCTAACCTCTCTCTCTCTCAACCAATTATCAGAGAATAAGAAGAGTTTTTGGTGTGTTTTTCTGATAACTGCTAAAATTGACAGGATACAATTTCAACAGAGGGGGTGGTGAACGCACAGGACGAGTTTGTGGAGACGCAGTACTATAATGAATTGGCGTCCATTGACAAACAGCATCACACGGTTCGTGAACAATCCCTTTCTGGATCCACAATTAATTAAATCAAACTGCTGAAGCATCTGAGTTTTATTTTTGTGACCTTTTTGAAAAATTTCATGCGATTCAGTTTCTTGAATTTTTTCTTTTCGTTGTTGAACAGACGGGGAGTGGATTCATAAATGTTGTAACAGAAGGAGAGGAAAGTGGGTATAAGATTGAATTGCCCGATGGCCATGTTAATGCAGTTGAAACAGAAATCCAACCCAGAGGATATAAAAGCAACCCTGCCACCAACGACTGGGTTCCTAGCAGTGATGATTATCAGGTAGAGAGAAATAGTGTTTATTATATACACACGTAATATGTATTATGTATGTATGATGTTGAATTGAATAAATAACCTCCTGATGTTCTTTTCATATTGTAAGTTGTGACAGGTTTTCGTGTCCTCAAAGCCAAGTAGAAGCGAGTGCTCCTGATCTGCCATTGCTAGGTGAAAATGGTGTATTTTCTACCGGCTTTTTCTTATTATATATGTCTATTTCTTTATAAGAGATGAGGTGTGGTGGTACAACTGTTGCTGTATGAGAGAAATATCACTCATGATTAAAGATTATGAAAATAATTGAAGTAGTTCAAGTGCACTCTAAGTCTACTTGCTAGTTCAAGTAGACAATCAGTCTAATTGCATCCATGACATTTGTTCTTATACTTGAATACGCATTTAAATTTTACTCTCAAGTTCCTTTTATGGAAAGTACACACATACTAATTATACTCGCATTCTGGATATTTTTCGAAATGAGTAAATACACACCAATGCGTAATTCAACGCGATAATGTGATTGTACATTAATGAACAATCAAGGGAAAAATCAGAATATCTTGCTAATGATTGGACGCGTTTTGCATTTGGCCTCCAATGGAATGGCCTTGGGCACCAGAGTTCCCCGTCCTTCGGTCATGTCAACTTCCTCTTCTCCGATCCTTTCCCATTCAAAGCATTGAATCAACGAACCCAAAATCAAGTTCAAAGTTTTTTGTGCCATGGCTGCACCGGGACACGCTCTCCTCCCCAACCCAAAAGGCATTAGCTTGTTTGCGTCTATGGGACCATCCTCAAACCTCTCCGGCTTGAAGCTTGTTGGGTCAACCCACAGCTCCGGATCCCTATGTATGGTCCATGCATTCACCATTAACATGGTCTTACCTGGTACATCATACCCTCCCACCGTGCAATCTTCGTAGGAGAAATGAGGCAATAGCATTGGCGCTGGAGGATGCAATCGCAGAGTCTCAGTGATTATATTCTGAAGGTACTGCAATTTGCTTACATCCTCTTCCTTCATCAAACACTCTTCTCCAATCAGGGTGTCCAATTCAATCCTTGCTTTTTCCAACACTTCCGGATTGTTCAACAAATTCGACATGGCCCACTCTAATGCTATAGCGGAAGTCTCTGTTCCAGCCACAATCAACACCTGCAAAAAAGACTCTATAAACTACGAATTCTGCAAAAATTAAGAGTTAGGAAAGTACCATTACAAGGCCTTTGATAATTTGGTCGGTGTAATACTCAGGCTGTGACTCTTGTAAATGCAGCATACGTCCTATCATGGTGTTTGAGTCTTGATCTTTGTTCCGATGTTCGTCAACGAGTCCTTGAAACAGGGCGTCCATCTTCTCTCCAACTTTTCGTAACTTCGTGTGGCTACGGTTAAAATCGAACCATCTGAAGACAGGCACAAAATCTCCGAGGTGCGATCCCAACCCGAACTGAGCCATCTCATTCATGAGGTCTCTGAACTTCTTAGCCTCCTCGGCGTTGGTCCCCTCGTATTCGGAGCCGTAGTAGCGTTTTCCACACACCATTCTCATGATTGTGTTGAATGTGAGATCCGCGAACATGGACCTTAACTCCACTCTCGTGAACACTTCTTTGTTGGAGGCTCGAGCCAGATTTTGGAGCAGCTTCAGAGTCTCGTCGATTCGGATTCCCGAAAAGGAATTAAGACGTTGAGATGAGAGGATCTCGAGGGAGCTGATACGTCGCAGGTTCCGCCAGTGGTCGCCGTAGGATGCTGCTAAAAGAATGGTGTTGTCGTAGCCGAGGAACTTGGTCTTGATGGAAGGGAAACGATTCGCGAATATGATGTCGTTTGTGGTGAAACATTCTTCGGCGGCGGATGCAGATGAAACGACGAGGACCGGCTGTGAGCCGAACCGGAAAGAGAAAATAGGTCCGTATTTTTGTGATAGGACGTGGAAGGTGCGGTGTACCGGCTGTTTCAGCTGGTGAAGGTTGCCTATTACCGGAAGAGAAGGTGGACTTGGTGGTGGGTTTTTTTGTCTTTTTCTGGAGAATAGTAATTTTATGCTTAAGAAGAAGATAAAAAGGAAGGAAATAATCTTGATAAGGTGCTCTTCCATGACCCCCGGCTTCTTTAGCAGAGTCTCTATCAGTATCTGTGTGTATATATGCATATATAATTATATCCTTTATTTAATTATTTTAATAATAAAGAAAATGAAATGTCGGGAAGATATAAATGGAAGGAAAATGGTATGAGGACAACCATTTTTTGCCAACAATTTGACAACTCGAGGTGGTGTTTTTGCATTGGCCAAATTTAATAAAAAGAAAATGGAAAATGTTATTTGGACAACAAAAGTTTGACACAATTTTGACAATGGCGACGTGGCAGCTGTGCATTGGCTCAGTGAATTGAAAACAAACCAGAAAAAACCCAAAATACCCCCTCACGCGCTCCCGGTTTCCACTGAGCCAATGCACAGCTGCCACGTCGCCGTTGTCAAAATTGTGTCCAAACTTTGTTTTTGTCCAAAATAACATTTTCCAAGAAATAGAGAGAAGTTAATCATACTAAGGTAAAATTGGAAGAAAAGTTTACTAGTTTAACATTTTTGGTTTCGCGGTTTTCGTTTTCATTTTTTTTTCGCTCTCACCTCTACCTCTAACACTCTTTCATCCTTTTATGCTTCTCTCCTCGATCTAAACCTCTATCTTACTGTCGTTCTAAGACCCTATTCTTGTATCTTTTTTTTTCTGATTCGAAGTCTGGTGGCGTGTGGGTTCATGAAGTTAATTCCTTTTTACGTTGTGTGTGTTATAATGAATAAAGGTGTTCATTGACCAAAAAGACCGCAGAATCTTTAAAAGTATTTTAAATGACAATGGTTTCAGAATGGAATATAAGTTGTGGAATTTGTTGACCAAAAAAAAACCATAAAGTGAATTTAGGGTCAATTAATGGGTTTGGGAGGTTAATGTTTGGTGACCCCAAGAAGTGGGGAAGAAGCCATTCTTATGAGGGGACCAAGTTGGACAGTCAGAGCTAATCTGTAGAAAAAACATTTGTCGTAATCGTTTACAGTGGCTCCCGTAAACGATTACACAGAGAATCATTGTTTTGTACAGAAATTGAGTCTGAAGTAGTCATCGTGGTGTCCCTGGTGATCATTGGCAAACTGTTATTTAAAGCCTAATAAGTCCACTTGTATTTTACTTGGTGTTGGTGTTTGACTGGTGGTAGAGGGTGGTAGGTGATGGGAGGTGACCCCAAGAAGTGGGGAAGAAGTCATTCTTACTGAAGGGACCAGTTGGAGAAGTGCATGGCTAATCTACAGAAAAAACACTGTGGCAATAGTTTATAGTGGTCTGGTAAACGATTACACGAGAGAAATCACTGTTTTTGTAACAGAAAAGTTGAACTTAAGTGTCGCTGTGTGCCATGTGGGTGTATCATTGGCAAAAATTGTACTTTCAATGCCAAGTCCCACTTGTATTGGACTTGGTAGTGGGTGTTTCACAGTGGTGGTAGAGAGTGGGTCGTGATGGGAGGTGACCCCAAGAAGTTGGAGAAGAAGCCATTCTTGTTACTAATAGGATTAGTGGTAAATCTTGAAGAAATTTGTTTTGATGATGCTACAAGACGTTTTAAGTTGAAGAAGATATCTAGAATTAGTTAAAAGCAAGTTGGAAAAATTAAATGTAGTAGGAAATCCTTTAAACCTTGTAAACTGCCTTTTTAACCTGCAATAATCGATTATGATTAAGCAATAATCGTTATCACAAGTCCATACTTGAATATCGAGTTCACTGTCAATTCGATTATCAACATCTTTGAAACCTGTAAACGGACTTGAATAATCGATTATCACTTACAATAAGCGATTATTCATGGCATTGGGAGCTGTCCTTTGGCATTCAGTGTACTTTTGGCTATATATTTTTGATTTGGAGAAATCAGAAGGTAACGTTGTTGAACAGAAGCTCTTGGCATACTTTTTTGTCAAGGAATTCTCAGCCTATAGTTCAAGTCCCTTCTGGTCTCGTGAACCCCAAGAGGCTCGCGTGTCGTGTGTCGATATCGGAGCAGCTCTCTTCGAGTTAGCAAGGTGCTCTGCCTGGTCTCGTGAATAGGAGACTCGTGTTTCTTTGTCGATATTCGGAGGCGGGTTCTCTTCGAGTTGGGCAGAGTGTTCTTCTTCCGTTCGTTCGTCAAGGAATGTTATTTATCTGCTTTATTTCACTATTTCTGTAATCTGTTAAATAACGTTTTAGTGAAAAAGGTTAATCACTATTTATAGGATTAACGACTGTAACGTAGATTTTTTGAATCGAACCAGGATAAAAATTGCTTGTGTGATTTTTATCCCTACCTCTTTATCTTTTAATCCGCTATCAACTGTTTGATAATTTTTTCTCTAAGAAAATTGTTTTTCTAAACGGACCATTTAAACTTATTTGTGGACCGAAACCACTTTCCGAATATTTTATATTCGCTGCGCGACTCTATAACGGTACCGATTGTTCCAACATTGGTATCAGAGCTT